AAAATGAGATGATCTTTACATTCATAAAAGTACCTTGGAGAGTAATTTTCTTTTTTTATTATTGATTTTAGGAATATACTTATTAATATTTTTTTCTAGCGATTTTAGAGTGATAAATTTGTTTTTATTCCAAGGAAATCTCAATTTATGACCTTTTTTTTCCAGAATTTTTATAAGTTCATCATCTTCTGAAATTTTAAGGTTATATGTTGATCAAAAGCATCAGCATAATAATATAGCAAAACATCAATGTCAGCCGAATTTAAAGTATTGACGAAAGCCTTATTGTTGTAAAAGAACCGATTGGTTCATTTTACTTACAATCCAAAGTTGGGTAAAGGTTTCAATCAGAAACAAAATATTAGTAATACTCTGATGAATTAACGACGGTAGAGACAGATCATTTACTATTTTATGCTTGAAATCAGTTACCATAGAAGGTTTGTTTCCCCTGTGTAATATGAAAAGCAGAAGTAGTAAGTATTCTACACAAGTTTCAATTTGATTAAGTCTTTCGCTTATCTGTTTGGATAAGGCAATATTTACATTAAAAACAGTACTCTTAAAACAAGAAATTATTTAATTAAGAAAGTATAAATAATTGTCAAGGATTTAACGAAATTCGTTAAAATCAACCCATTTACGTTTGTTATGATCTTTTCCCTTAATCTCTTTTGGTTTTGGTTTTGTTTGGAATTTCGCGCAAAGCTACACGAGGGCTATCTGCGCTAGCCGTCCCTAATTTAGCAGTGAAAGACTAGAGGGAAGGCAGCTAGTCATCACAATTCACCGCCAACACTTGGGCTACTCTTTTATCAATGAATAGTGGGATTGATCGTTACATTATAACGCCCCCACGGTTGAAAGGGCCAGCATGTTTAGTACGAATGGGAACCCGCCACCCTCAGATTGCTAGTCAAGCGCCCTAGCCACCCTTAATCGTTAACGTTTGCATAAAGAATCAACAAGAAAAACTAAAAGGCTAAAGCAGTTAGATTTATTAAGTGAGTAGTGTTGTTATTTTAGGAGTCTTGGTTAAGATAATAATTGTTTTATGTTTTAAGATAAATTAATCCATTTTTTCAGCTAACTTATTAGAATCGTTGACATGATATAAAATAATACTTTTAACACCAGCGAAATCATCTACATGAGAATGATCAATTTCAAAGGAATGAGGAAAGCCTTTGTTACGTTGTAATATATGGAGGTTAATTCTTAAATGTAATGGACTGGAATATTTTTCCATATGTTGTAGCCTGCAATGACCACAAGTCAATAAGTAGATGACATTAGAAGTCTTACAAAATAGTTTACTGAGAAGTAAAGGTTGCTCATCCGATGCCGCGGGACATGTTGAACACATATTACCTTTGCAAGTAATTATTTTACATTCAAAAGTGATTTTAAAAATTTACTTTAAAAAAGCTATCTAGGTTGAAGTTAGTAGCTCTAAAAAGAATGAATAGCGAAGAATCAGCATCTCTATGTCCAAATACATTAATAGTAGTAATAAATATTACAAAAATAAG